TATACAGAAGGAAAGGCGAACTCCAGACAGATCAATAATAATGTTTTCTTACAAACGTTTTATTACAAACGTTGATCTGTCTGGAGTTCGCCTTTCCTTCTGTATACCTATATCTATAATATTTTAAGCGTCATGTATGCTTTGGATCCTCCAGACAAGTGACATCAACGTTGGCAAGCCAGACTATATCCATACCTTATATATATATATATATATATATATATATATATATATATATATATATATATATATATATATATATATATATATATATATATATATATATATATATATACCGGGTGTCCCAAAAAAAAAGTAATCCGGTTTGATTCCTAATAACGTCTAAACAAATAAAGCTTTTAAAGAGAAATAACTTGCATCAAATGGAGGAAAGAGTAACTTAGATTTTGATATATTACAGTTGTATTTCACTTAAAAATTCTCGGAGATATTAATGTTTAAAATTGGGAACATATTTCTGGATGTGTCTGAAATATGCAAAAAATGGCGTATCAAATATTAATCAAGATTTGCCCAACTGAAATATGCACTATTACTAGTAAATAAATGACACTTGACAAATTGTTTATTATGAAACAAAGTATTATTATCTACAAAATACAAACAAGATTTATTCGTCCGAAATCCACATGTGTTCCTAGCACGAATATATACGTTTCCTTATTTCATGAGACCACTGCATCGCGAAGGATCGTCATGGATCGTTCGTAGTTCAGAATTAGGGCATGCTGTCACAATGGAATTGTGAAGCTCTTCTAACTTCTGCAACGTTCTGAAATCTTGTTAAGAACACCCATACTCTTTTGCCTTTTCTTAATCTTGGCAAGTTCAGAATAAACTGAGAATGAAACACAATCAAACCATACAACTCCATAAGACATAACAAGCAACTCCCCAGAGACATCCAACATTTTTGGAACAACTTGCATGGTCTTTCATGTATACCCTTTAAGTTTGTAAAGACCTATTAAATACTTGCATAATTTCAAGCGTTCATATTTCAGGAAACAATGAGCTAAGACTTACATGTAAGATGTCTAAATCTACGCCATATCCCTTACAAACCCTAACGACAATTCGCTGAAATACAAATTATCCTGATATGTCATTAAGCAAACAAACGCTGGAGTTAATATTTGATATGCCGATTTTCGCTAATTTTAGACACATCCCAAAATATGCTCCCGATTTTGAACATTAATATCTCCGTGAATTTTTAAGTAAAATGCAACTGTAATATATCAAAATCTAAGTTAGTCCTTCCTCTATTTAATGCAAGTTACTTCTGTTTGATAGCTTTACTTGTTTAGAAGTTATTACAAATCAAACCGGAGTACTTTTTTTTGGGCCACCCGGTATATTATTACAAGCTATCTGTATATGTTGGCATTACTATGTGACATTATCCATTCCTCATGATGACTAATAGGATGAGCCAAAAAAGACTCATAAGATGAGTCGTTTTTTAAGTCATTTATAACATTCGCGTGCGTGTTGTATCGGATATACAAACTCTCGAGTTTGTATATCCGATATAACACGGCCGCTCATGTTGTAAATAGTACGTATTAAACGGCACTAACCTTTAAGAAACATTGCCTTTCTATTTAAACACCCACGCGTTAAATTTGATACAGACAGTATTAAAACCTCTCTCTGAAGAACGGGCAATGCTTTGCCGATTGCTTTAACCAGACGATCGAAGTCCCATTTTTCCTTTTCATAATTGCCAATGAGGAAAATTTCTTTCTCACTGGACATCAAGCCTTTCACCTGATCCTTGCATTTGTTTCTGATTCTTGACAATGTTGTGTCTTCGTCAATAGTGGTTTTTCCTGGTAAAGGCCGGAGGTCGTTATCAATCTTTGTACGAATAAGAAAAAACGACTTGCCAATGTCTTTCACTTTCTTTGCCAATACCAAGTCGTTTTGTGTAAAGCGAGTAGCAGTGAAAATGAGGAAGGTGTCGTACTTCTCTAAGGGAACCTTTGCACAGTAGGTTCGAAGATCAGGATAGTTTGGCGTACCGATACCGGGTAGGTCGACGAGAGTAATCATTGGGTTGTCAGGATATGTGTATTCTGCTGGCTCTCTCGTTGCTTCAATAACGTCTACTTTTGCTGCATGTTTTTCGTTATCTTTAAGTCTACACAAGAAAACTATGCGTAAAATTATTTATCAAGTTATTTATCTTGCCTTTATCTATACCCATCTTCTTCCTTCCTTTCATTCTTGCTTCCTTTCGTCTTAGTAGAGCACACAAGGGGACAATCATGCTCCCATAGGACAATCAAGCCCTTGAATGATATAACTGAATAATTGTGCAAAAATTCTGTAACAGTAATTTTACAACCATAGTAACACTGGTAGGCTATAAATTATAAGTAAATTCGCATGAATGTGAATGCAAAAATATGAGTTGCAACATAAGGGTGGTAATGTTCTAGAAACTTAACTCAGCCCATCATTATTACTTAACTCAGCCCGCCAATATTTTGCAAATGTCAGCCGTTATACTATTTCGTTCTGACTTTCTTTCTTTTCTATTTCTATTCTTTTTAGTAAAAGCTAATATATGGGTATGGATGAAAACTAAGGTACAGTCCAATTTTTTTGGAAAGGTAAAGCATTAAAATATTACCCTCTTATTGCATTGATAAAGGTTGATTTTCCTGTGCCACTATCGCCTGTTATACCAAATCTTATTTTAACGTTTTTCCATTCATTAAGTTTCTTTTTAAGAAACTCTCCAATGCCAGAGACACCATTTTTGTTAATATATGCCCTTGCATCAGCCAGATATTCTTTCGTTAGATCTGTTGTCTCTTTCGTCTCTTCTCTCTCTGTCTCTTCTTCCTTTTCTGACTCTTCTGACTCTGTTTCTTCTATTTCTTCTGGAAAAAATTTAGATTGTCAACCAATAACGAGCATAAACCTTGCATTTGGATTCCTGCATGAATCTGGAATCTTTATGTCTTGAGAAAACGGGTTTTTCTATAGCAATATTGTATGTGTATAGCAAAACGATGTTTGAACGAAAAGCCACGTGAGGAGTTTTTTCCACGAGTTTATTGGCCTTCCCAATAATTTCATGGTATACTATATATCATCGTGCATTTTGACGAATCTTATTCGACATGTAGTCGCACTCCTCATTCTTACTTGCGATTTTGAGCTATCATCAGATTCATAAATAATGAAACACAGCCTATCAAATCGGGTCAAATAAAGGCCACATGTACAGATATCTTTGTGTATCAACTTTATCAACTGAACACTACTGTTGCATGTACATAAGATGGCCTTATTGCACTTACTTACTTTGAAGCAAGATGTACTTTGCAGAATAATTTATAAATGCAATTTATCAAATAAATAGCTTTTATGCAAAAAGCGTCGTGCATATACGGTTGCAATTGCGTAATATATCAGGAGTTTTGGGGCATTTCACCTGATTAGTTTATTTATTTAATTCGCTTTGTGCATATTACACAGTGGCAGGGAATCCGCAACAGCGTCTGAATTGTCAATTACTGCGGGCCCGAATAAATAAATTACAACAATACACATATGTATATATTGAACAACGAAGAACATACAGTACCAACAGTTCCTATACATACAGCACAATAACAATGTTTTGACAGTGCAAACAGAATAACACTTAGGACATATAGTTTTATAACTACGAGGATCCTCAACATTGTAACACGAGTACAAAGAGGGCATATAGTACTTAAACATTGCCGACTTAAATGACGAAAGACTATCCGCATTCAAATTAAGTTAATCAACGACAACGAGATCGGTTCCATATTCGAGTTGCCCGAATCATGTAAAATATTTGGTATGTTACGATTGAAATAATGTTGAAGGTTTTGTAGATAGAAAATTTCAAGTGTATAAATTTTATACATTTATTAGACCTAACCTGGAGCAGACACGCCTGATGTTTACCCATAAACGTTACCATGGCATCACCTAATAAGTCTATTAAACACATAATATCACAGTTGTCTCAATTTCTTTTGTCTTTTCAGGTTAATTTAATAACTAAATTACTTCATTTCGATTACTTTATACAATCTAGCGGTCGTATTAGAACTAATACAACCTTCAATGACATCATAGGAGGTAGTATTAGCTTTTTCTCACCTGGCATGCAAATGTGATCTACATATAAGGTCAAAACAACATACACACGCGTTCAAAACCACAACAACTTTTAATTCAAACACCTCAAATAATCTTACATTATTGTTTAATATACACGTTTAAACTACCGATATTACAATTGGAAATAAACTCATTCAAATCAAAGTTAATGCTTGAAGAACTTTGCATGTGCTTGACCTTCTAATTTCTCTCGTAACACTCCATAGCCTGAGTCAGTACAATGTCGCTTACATCACACTCAGCAAACATTATTTCAGAACTCTTCTCTTCAAAACTATTATTAGTGGACACACGCGTTTCCTGTTTCTCACAAACCTCAGAATTGTTAACACACTAACTTAGAACATCGGACACACGTTTCGTATCGTTTACATCCAGTGTCTGGTATTCTCGCAAGCTTTCCAAAGTACGATGGCCCGTCCTTTCCAAAGCCATTTTATCTGGAATACCTGCTTTCAACAGGGCAGTTGCAGCCGTTGCTCGTCCAGAATGATTAGAGAACTGTCCTTCTAGACCAGCTAACTTACAGATGCGTTTGTAAGTTTACGCCAAATATGAATGTGTTATGTCCCACTGGTCGTTTTTCGTACCGACATTCCATTGCGTAATCCCATTTTGTTTTTGGCTTGAGGTACAAAAATGACAACTCATAATCTATTGGGCTTGAGAAAAACAAAAAAATTCAGATTTAGCGTTCAAAAGAATATTAATGACATTAAAAACTGATGAAGCGAACAAACGCAATAAAATTGCCATTTTGAAATGTAAAAATTGAATATATAAGTAAACGATCTTTCATCGCCTTCGTCTTCAATATGCTTCACCACTTTCGGCATAAGTTTTCTTCGTTTAAGCCCTCCTTGGTTTGCCTTCGATGTCTTCTCGCGATACGTTACAATAGTCTTCCCATCGTCAGTTTGTGCGAACCCAAAACTGTCAAAGGAAAGACTTCTATGCTCCTGCCCTCCTCGCAAAGCAAAGATCTTACCGCTTAAAAATATCACAGTATCGAGAAGAACACGAGGAGAATGAGTGCCCAATGAACCTGTACACCAAAGCTTCTCTTCATCTTGTCCACTTAGAGCCTTCGCTTTCTTTCGAAAGGGAGTTTGTTTCGACTGCAACTCTTTTAGACGGCTGTCGAGCACCCCCTGAAGCGGCTTTAGTTGCGGTGATTTGAATAACACGGTCGGGATGGGACTCACGAATGACACGGTTAATTGCACAAAACAACGAGTACAGAACTTCATGCTTGTATTCTTTTCAGTTTTTTTGCCTTGCATCTACGCAAAACTTTGATAGCCAATAGTTAATTTCGTCTATTCTTAGTGACGACAAATCGTTTGGAGCCTCAGGGTACTGAGCGTTTTCAGGACGAAAATCTTTCATCGCCTCGTTTCGGGTTCTCGCCCATTTTTTATACACGTTTACTCCCCAAGACCAGGGCCGTCCTCAGGAAATTCTTCAGGGGGGGTGTAATAAGGTCAATTCAACCGACTGGTTCAAAAAAACTTTTTCCGGATCCAAATTTTTTGGTCGACCCCCCCCCGCCCGTCGCCAAAAAAATTTCGGTCATTGTACCATTTTAGGGGTCCGAGCATTCAAAAATTTTCCGCACATCACAAATTTTCAACATTTTTTTACATTTTTTCAAAATTTTTACATTTTTCCTCAAAATTTTCCTAAAATTCCCACCACGTTCTTGCCCTTTGCGCCAAAAATATTTAACCCAAATAGCAGTTCTACCGACTGAATAGCAGTTCTACCGACTGAATAGCAGTCCTACCGACTGAATAGCAGTCCTGCCGACTGAATACAATTACTGGGGGGGTGTCACACCCCCCCCACACCCCCCCGTAGCTCCGGGCCTGCCCAAGACGTATGTTTTCCTGTGTTCTTTATCTTTGGCACTGCTTCTTTACGACATTTTGACACATTTAAATCAGTTGAGAACGTCTTAAATCGTTCTTCCATCCTTCACGGTCATCTATCCAGTCACGACTGATAGGAGGAAATTTCGACAACTATGATATTACAAAGTAAGTATAAAGTATATTTACTTAATGACCCTCATCGAGCGGGCGGTTTAACGGCTAAGGGCCTGTTCATATGAGCCCGGTTAACCGAGCTCGCCCGCTTTGATATTTTTTTTTATATTTGATATTTTATTAAGATAAACCGACATTGTAACCGTAGGTTAAATTGCATCGGTCTTTACAATATTAATTAAACTAAGTAAACTACATTATATTTACAATAAGAATTAACTACTCGATGTTTATAGTAAAAATTTTAAAATACAATAGATCTATTTACTATTTTCTTTAGAGATAGTTCGTGGTAAAAACGAGTTTTTAAATCTGTCCGTTTTACATGAAAAGTTTTTATATTTACATTTTGAAGGCAATATGATTCTTAGTGCGCGTTTTTGGATTTTCTCAATCTGATCACTTAAGTATTGTTGAATATTAAAATGCCAAACTTGGCAGGCATATTCTAAAACAGGTCTTATGATGGAAGTGAAAACCGTGAGCAATATCTTCAAATTGGCATTCGATCTTTTCAAAATCCGAAGCATGTACAGTCTTTTTCCAGCTTTCCTAACAATTTGGTGTATGTGGTCGTTCCAATTCATATTATTTTGAAAGGTAATTCCGAGGACGCGAGTTGATTCTACGCGTTTCACTGGTACGTCGTTGATCAGTTGAGGCGTAAAGTTACGTTTTTCTTTGGAAAAGTCAATGACCATTTCTTTACATTTATCTACGTTGAGCTTCATATTGTTTGCGATAGTCCAGTTGTAAATATAGTCCACTAAGTCTTGGAGATTACTGTTACAGTGAGGTGGGATACTTTCGGTGATCGTACAGTCGTCGACATATTTCCACCTATCAGGCCATTCAGTAAGTAGGTCGTTTACCATGATAAGAAAGAGAACAGGACCCAAAACTGTCCCTTGAGCTACTCCTCCATTTACATTGCGCCAATCCGACAAACAGTTGTTCAGTTTTACTCGTTGTTTACGTTCCGTGAGAAAGCTTTGAATCCAGTCTATTATAATTGATGGTACGTTCATATCAGAGAGTTTCTGCAAAAGAATAGAATGGTCGATACGGTCGAATGCCTTCGAGAAGTCAAGAAGGAATACTCTTATGGCACTCTTTGCCGCGTCTGTCTCGCTTAGGTTGTTGAGGTGTTTTTAAGTGAACCAAACTGTCTTTCATCTATCGATTTCCCGCGATATTTTAGCGGGAAAATAAAATTCGTGTTTATTTGGCAAAATTTTATTTTTGTCGACGGCAACAGCTTGAGGAGGTTTAATTTCGATAAATTCCTATAGTTTTGGACATTTTAGACAGTTTATCAGTGGAATAAAGCATGCAAATTTCCAGCACAGCTTGCCAGGCTAGCCCGGTTGTGCATTCATATGAGCCCGGCAAGCCGGGATCTCGCCTCGCTCAAGCGAGATCCCGGCAAACCGGGCTGGCCCGCTTCTCATATGAACCCAATCCTAAGTTAATATACAAACAATATGTGAAGCGGGATCATGATATTACTTATAATAATATCATGATTGCGGGTATTCCCTTTGTTCTCGCAGGGGAATTAAAAACTAATACACCTCATTATATTCATTTTTTTCCAATCCTACCCGCTTTTACGTCATGTCAGGTAGGATTAGTTCTAATCGTACCCGATACGACGTCAAAGCGGGTACGATTAGAAAAAATGAATATAAATGAAGATATCTGAAATCGCCAAAACTAAACAAAGACATGGAAAACAATTATACCATTTAATATATACCATTTGAGATCAGGAAAGATTATATGAAGGGCTCTGCGTTGAATACTCTCGATCTCGTCGCTCAAATATTGCGCCAAGCTATAGTGCCATACCTCGCACGAAAATTCTAAGATTGGTCGAACGCAGGTAGTATAAACCCGGACTAACTTGCCCGCTGGTATAGAGGATCTCTTAAGTAATCGTAAGGCATATACAACCGCTTCGAAGCTTTCTTGCAGATATAATCAACGTGCTCGATCCATTTAAAATCTTTAGAGATCATGACACCAAGTAATTTAGCGTGCGGAACCACGACTATATCATGACCGTCAATGGTGATCGGCGGAAGAGCCAAGGGATCAAGAGGAGAAAACCCAACACGAACTTCTTTTGTTTTTGTAGGGTTCAGTTTCATGTTATTCTCAGAAGCCCATTTAGTAGATTCTGTAATTTGAGACGGTAGGACCGAGTTGGATTCTTGACCCTTCAAGACAATCTCCCAGATATTGGTGTCGTCAACAAATTTCACCGTATCGTCAGAAACATTCAAGTCGTTCACCATGATGAGAAAGAGGAGGGGGCCCAGTTTGGTTCCTTGGGGGACTCCTCCGTTGGTAATTCTCCAACTCGAAAAATTAGAGCCAATTCGTGTTCTCTGACTTCTGTCAGTAAGGAAGTTGGCAATACAATTAATTAGAATAGGGTGTACGCGCAAGTTAATGAGTTTCTGCATCAGAATGTTGAAATCGATACGGTCAAAAGCTTTAGAAAAGTCCAGCATGCATATCCGTAGGCAGGCTCCAGGTGTGTCCATCGCTTCGTACCATTTATGAAGCAGGTATATTAGCGCCATGGTGGTGTTGGATCCTTTAATTGAGCCAAATTGGAGCTTATCAATTTGGTCGCGGATTGACTGCAAGAGCCAGTTGTATGGAAATCACTCCAGAGTCTTACTCACTATGGACGTGAGCGATATCGGTCGAAAATCAGAGTCAACATCCAGGGCAGGGGAAGACTTTGCTGCAGGGATGACATTTGCAGATTTCCATAGGGATGGAACACAACCATCATGAATAGAGGCATTAAATATGGATGCTAATGGGCGACATAATAACGAGGAATTTTCACGGAGGAATCAAGACGTGATTTCGTCAGGACCTGCAGCTGAAAAGGACTTGACGGATTGTAATGCTTTCTCGGTGTCGTCGACTGAAATGTAAAAGTCGGGAGGAAAATCACCGACTTCGAGGGGCGTCCAAGCAAGCGGAGGCAGGGAATTCCCAACGGCAACAAACGTGTCATTAAACAGGTTGGCCAGAGCCGAATCGGAATAGGGCTGTCCGTTGTACACAAGTGTGGAAACGTTTTTAGATGGGGCAAGGCCAGCAATATTTTTGACAGCTGACCACCACTTCCGTGGATTCGACTGAGTGGTATTAGCGACATTGTTGGTATAATACTTTGAGCGAGCACGCCTACACAAGTTATTAATTTTGTTCCTATAGAATCGAAACATAGGCTTGTTTCCTTTCCGCCAGGTTACTTGGCGTTTCGATATTAATATTTTTATCTCCGGAGTAATCCAGGGCTTATCGCTGCTGTCAGATTTAACACGCTTCAGCGGGAGATATTTATCAACAATACCATCG